CAGGCCCTGTCCCTGCCCACAAGGCCACCCAGCCCTGTCATCCCTGGCCTCGCTCTGTCTCTCTCCTGCCCCTGCCTTTGCTTCTGTCCTCTTGTTTCTCACCCTTTTTCTTCCCACCCCCCTCTCTCTTCTCACACCCCACTTTCCCACCCCAAAACTTAAAAAAAGAAAGAAAGAAAGAAAAGAAAACAGCTGTTGTGGCCATGCTACTACATTTGCAGAATTTGGGGATTCATGTGAAACTGTCACTGCTTCTGATAAGAGATAAAGACAAGGGCCAGAGACAAAGGGAAAGGTAGAGAGCAGAGAGAATGAGTCTGTTGGATATGCTTTGGGGTTTTTTTTCCCTCCTTCTCTCTCCCTCCAAAGTGGAGGATCCGGCCGGGCCAGTTTGGATATTTATTAAGAAAAAGCCAAAGATAATTAACTTTTTTGTTTTTGTTTTGTTTGCGGGTGCCTCTCCGGCTGGCAGTCTTGACTGCCAGGCAAATCAAACCTGCTCCCTGCTCCTGGGGTGCTGGGCCACCATCAGGTCTACTGCAGCTGCCCCAAGTATTCCAGGGCCATCTGCTGCCCACCAAGCCACCTAGCTGGGTTTTAGACCCTGAGTCACTGTATACCACCACCAATGCCACCTCCCCAGGCTCTCCTGGCTTGCAGAGCACCCCTTAGAGGTGGGTATAAGTGATACGAGGGTCTGGGTGGGAGAGGAGGGGCCACTGCTTGGGGTTATGGCCAGCACTGCCCTTTGGGGCAGTGGGTAAGAGTGAGTTCCTCCCAGGGGCACGGTATTCTTCCTGGTCAGCTCAGGGCTGCTGACTTCCCAGGAGAGGCCAAGGGGAACAGACTGAGCTGGAAGTGCAGCGGGAGGCCAGATTTGGCCAATTTGGTCCTGATCTTGTGCCAAGAGGCTGGTTCAGCCAGAACCCATGGCCCCTGGGAAAGCCCAGAAGACGACAGTGGGCCACAGAACCATCCTCTGGTTTCCATCCACCCGAGGTACCAGGATCTGTCTTGTTCCCACCTTCCACCCAGCCTAGGCCATTGGGGGTCCCTCAGAGCAGTCAGGGAGCCAGGGCTTGGCTAAGAAGCTGACTGCTTCTGGTCAGCTACCCTGCAATTGGCGCAGAACCATAAGCCAAGCTGTGGCCTGAGCTGAGGTCCGGCTCATGGGGCAAGAAGTTGGCACCGAGAGTTAGAGACATTTGGGTAGGGGACAGAGCTGAGGGCATCTCAGGAGCAGGACAGCCAAAGTGAGAAAGGCCAGTGTGCCAGAGGTGGCTAGGCCTGGGGTGTGGCTCGCCCCCTGTTCAGCTCTCAGCCCCTCCCCTGCTGGACCCTCTCCCTGCCCGGCCCCACCCCAGCTGCAGGGAGGCAGCAACTGTGAGGTCCTCCAGGTGGGGCAGCTGCTTTAAAGCTGGACACAGAAAGGAGGGCATTTTTCAAGGATTTTGCTGGCCCTTTTTTTTCTCTGAAATATAAGGATGTGCAATTTTTTTGGTTTCAATTTAGCATTGGAGAATTTTATAATTTAGTAATTAAAATCTCTGATAGGCTTTAGAAATTGCGGCTAATTGAATTTAATGGGAAGATGATTTTCAATTTTATTTGATTACCGGGACCCCTGGCATCGGTATTTATGGGAAAAAAATGGGAAATGTGCTGTGTGGGCTAAGATGGCATAATTGAATTAGGGATAATCGGATTTCTCCGTCATGAATTTCACTATAATTTTCCTATAATTTTCCATTAGATATCTAGTTTACAAATATTCACAAAGAAATGAAGCTCTTTCGGAATGGAGATTGCTGGCTAACAGGATTATGGGGCCGAGCGTGCGGCTGTACCAGCCCCTATACTGCCATAATGTGATCCCTGTGTCTGCCTTACACTTAGCGTGGCCTTGGCCCCTCTCTTTGCCACCCACTCCACGGCTCCTTCCTCCCCTGTGTTTCCTCTTCGTCCTTGTTTGCCCCCCTGGCCGACACCAGCCTGTCCGTACCCATGATCTCTGCTGCCTGCTGGCTGAGCCCACGCCCAGGCCTGTGCCCCGGCACCCTGGCCCTGCACTCCTGGGCCCCTCGTGCCTCCTGCTCACATTCGCCCACTCTCCCCGATATTCTCACCTTCTGCCAGCCTGGGGGGTGTGCTCACACACACACACACACACACACCGACTCCTCACAGGTGCGAACATGCTTGTTCACATGCACACACAGTCTTTAGCCAAGGCATCTGTGCCCTGGCCCAGTCGCCCGAGAGGGAACCAGTTTATTGGGATCTTGGGGTGGGGTGCAGGAACAAAAGGAGCTTTGTTCAAGTTTATGTGAAAGTTACAAATTCAAAATGAGAGCAGATAAAGCATGAGATACCTGGTGTGTAAACAGACCAGTGAGTGAGAAGGCCCCAGGCTCAGGAGGGAGGAAGAGTGAGTGGGCACTCGCTGGGGGTGCAGGAGGACAGCAGCCAGCCCTGGCAGCTCTCGGGAATCATGGCTGGGTCTCCTGGGCTCTGGAGAGGGCTCCTGGGCCGGTGGGATTGCTGCAGAGCTTTCTGCTTGGATTTTTCACTTGGGGTGTGGTGCCTAAGGAGCAGCTGGAGGCTCCAGGCCCAGGCCCTGGAATCAGGAGGAATCGTGGCACTGGTTCAGGCATGGATTTCCTCACTGTGGCCTTCGGGGGTCAAAGAGGTGTCACTACATCAGGGGTGTCCAGGCAGAAGTGGGCCATAGCCTCAAGGGACACCTGAGTTCTAGGCTCCTCGCCTTGGTGCAAGCATACACCAGAGACAGGGCCGGAGAGGAACCTGGGGACCCCTCCTTTACACCTGATTCGCACCCCACAACCTTGCTGCCTAAACCCTAACACACCCGGTTGGCCTCAGTTTCTCGATTCTCTCACCTTTTCTCCATGGAAGGTTTTTGCTCTTGGGCAGGGCCTGCCCCGCCTGCAGTATCTGACTGTGGCCACTGTCTCGGGTGTCACCTCTCTGCCATGGGTCACACATGGCAGCCCCTCTAGCCAGCCCTATTTGTGCTGCCTCCCCTCTAGCGTTCTTGGGCCTGCTGCATCAGCCGTTCCTCCCCGCCTTTGCCCACCAGAGGCCACTCAGTTAGAGGGAAGCTGATTGAGTTGGCCTTGCCGTCCACCCAGACCCTCCTGGGGTCACCCTGCCCCTCCTCCCAGGACTAGTCTTCTAGGAAGAGTGTGGCTTGGTTGGTTTAAGGTTTGTTCCCCTATTTGGGGGTTTTAAGCCTCTAGGCCTTTCCAGCTGCTGTTTGCCCACAGGGATTCGGACAGGCAGTCGGGAATGGAAGTCGGCAAGAAGGCATGGGGCGGGCCGTGGAATAAGAGGTATGGCACACTCTTTGTGAAGCCATTTAGAACTAAAGAACAATCCGAAATAAGAAGAAAAAGAAGGGGAAAGTAGGAGAAAGAGTAGATTGTTAACTCCCTTGACGTCTTTGCCCCAAGGCCTCCCTGGGGCCCCTCCCTTTGCAAAATAGAAATATTGCAAAAATAGGCCAGCGCCATTTTGCTGAATGCTGCCCAGGCAGCAGGGAATGCTGGGCCTGCCACCTTCCTCTCTTTGGAAGGCAGCATGGTCCTTCCTCAAATAGGAAAGAGGAAGGGAGCAGGGTGGGCACAGCGGGCCACAGCCCAGACGGTGGGAGTAGGTCCTGCCCCCACCCCTGCCTGGCTGTTTCCCTGAGCCCCTCAAGCCCAGTGGGTAACTTGGCTCCTGGACGTCCATGGTTGGGGCAGGGAGTCTGGGATGTGGGGGGCCCTGGCGGAGACCCATGAAACTTTTCTGAGAGAAAAGGAGAGCCAAGGAGAGGACAGAGCTCCTGGTCCCTCCGTGAGAGGCAAAGACAGAAAAAGAGGTCCCATGCCAGGGGGAAAGGTCACGCCAGGCACGGGGAGCCAGGAGCAGGTGGCGCATGTGTGGGGGGGGGGTGTCTGTGCTCCGGGTGGTGGCGGGGTGGATGCCGCTGACCTATGGTGGGGATCCCAGGCAAAGGGTGCCAAAGGGCAGGGGCGGGGCAGGGGCGCGGCTGGAGTTCGGGGTCTGGGGACCAGGGCACGTGTGTCGTCCCGAGCCGCGCGACCGGCGGGGAGGGGGCCGGGGCCCATGTTCAGGGTCAACCCCAAGAGAAGCGGCAGAAACCCAGGCGCGAGTGCCGGGAGCGCGAGGCAGGCGCGCGAGGGTGCGGGCGGGCGCGAGACTGACATGCGAGTGTTCCCGGCACACCCAGAGCCGCGCTCCGACTCCTTTCTTCCTCGAACTCAAAGAGCCACAGCGACAAGCAGAGGGAATCAGGGCCTGGAGTCTGGGGAACCCCTTCGAGACCCCCAGAAACCCTGCGGAGCCCGCGAGAGAAGCTCCAGGGACAGACTTCAAGCTCGCGCGGCCCGGCGGCCGCGGCCCCGCGGCGCCTCACACCTGCGCGCGCGCGCGCGAAAAAGTTTGCGTGGCCGCGCGGGGAGGGAGGCGGGGGCGCTTGAGGCGAGCGGGAGCGCGCAGCGGCCGACGG